TTTATTTTTTTTTTCCCCCCCCCCCCCCGTTTGGTGTGGACCTAGCTGAGGAATTAAACTTCAACTATGGGAAATAAAGCTTGTGTGTCCACAAATTATAAAACGAAAAGGGGGGAAAAATTGCAATGAATAATAATCAGCCATCTGCAGAGCTGGCTGGCTAATAAAAATGTGTTTCCAAATAGTAAGCAGCCCAAAACTAATAACAAATGTTATTTGCAATGAATTATTCTATTAGATCTTCTCCTAACCTTATGACATTTTTCCTCTCTAACAAACTTATCTTGAATATATGGATTTCCAAATCCATACCCACCCCAGCTGCAACACAACCAGATCACTTCATCTAAAATTAGCGAGCGTAATTCCAACTCGGTATGTTTGGTGACTTCAGGATACTGTAGCGTTTCAGGTATTTCAGTGCTTCAACATGTAAGTAGACGCCTGGTGTGATTTACAAAAGGCTATAAGCAGGTTAGGCCCCTAACACCTCTAGGCAACTACTTACATCATTAGGAACCTAAATGCCTTTATAAATCTGCGCTGTGATCCGAAGCTCATTGAAGTCAATGAAAAGACTTTGCTGACATCAATGGGCTTTGGAGTGGGCCCTGTGGAAGGAGTGCGATCAATGCGAAGTGGTTTGATTTCTTTATGCTGGTTATTATGATACTTTTTTCCTAGACACTTAGAACAATGCTACATTTTCTGTTTGAATAAATGGTCATTTCAAGCAGAGAAAACAAGAAAAGAGAAGTGAAATCAGTGTGAAAGAGCACAGAGGGATGATGTGTGTGTATCCGCTGTGATCGTATCGCAGGACTCACATTTGCTGCTTTTTTCCTGGAAATACTGGTGAGAATCTCAGCTTTCCTTTAAAAAGTCACTAGTTGCCTAGGGAAAATATGACCAGAGTCTATTTAAAAAGTTTCGGTGTCTAGAAAGCAGTAAGCCAAATATATCTGTATTTAAAACAGCCTTACGATATTTAAGGCAATCTTGTGATTTTTTCAGAACCTGACTCATCGTTTCTGCCTGCCAGGGCTGAAGGCATCGGGGGCTCCGGCAGCCAGCAGCGGCTCTCTGAGAAGGAAGGTGTCTTACCTGGTAGAAAGGGCAATACAGGGGAATAAAATAGCGAATAGTTTCACCCCTCCGTACCCCATATTGCTGCGGAGTCTGCTAGTACAGCTGCAAATATGAGATTCCATAGAGGTTTATTAGCAGGCTGGGTTTGTCCTTATTTTTAGATGAGGTTCTCTCGGTAGAAAGACCGTTTGGTGAAGGCTGTACTATAAGGCCAGAAAAACTGGGTGGCTGACGTCATGACATCCAGTTCTGAGACTTTACACCTCTTATCTGTTTTAGCCCTAATGCAAAAATAACCCTTCTCAGGCATAACATGTTTTGTTTTTTTTTTTTTAATGACTTAGAGGCTTGGAGCAAAAGGTGCTTTCCATTTTACTCAGCCTCTTACACAAGCGACTTAACATTTTCAGTGCAGCCTCTTTCTTTTCCCCTTAAATTTCTGCCTCATTGATCGACCTAGGTATTTCAAAGCCTTTCACTACACCCCATCGCAGACACCAGCATGCCTTTCCCGAAGCCTGGCAGCAGCGGGGTGCCTCGGGGTGCCGGGATCCCCCGGGATCCAGGGGAGCTCCGTGTGCCGCAATCAGCCTCGCCGGTGGGCTGGCAGGGCGGAGGCGAGCGCAGCCGGCCGAGCTCGCGGGGCTGCGCATCGTGCCCGTGACTCATGGCTCGCTGGCACCGGCCCCGCTGCTGGCATGGGCTCAGCCCGGGGATGGTCCTGGCAGGCTCTCCTCTGTGGTCCTGTTTGCACTCGTTCCTTACCTTGCTCGGTTGTTCCTTTCTCCTTTTATCTATTTATTATTTTATTGCTTGCTCCCCTCTTGCCTCCCCCCAGGAATGCTCCGCTGCACAAGTCCTTTCTGGTTCCACTTCTGAGAGCGAGCAGGGCTCTTCTCCCAGCATGGCTGGTGTCAAAATCCCCCTCCACCGCCAGCAGCAGCCCATTAGCAAGGTTTCCTATTGCAAATGGGCTGTTTTGGGATGCCCTTCTTTTGGGGTCCCTTCATGGGGCACCGAGGAAACAGCCCTGCGTACCAGGAGAGCCCTTTGGCAAGCGAGTCTGCAAAGGCTTAAACTCAGCAACTCAAATCCTCTGTCGCTTTGGCAAACAAGAGCTGAAGACTTTGCTTCCACCACCTGATATTTCCAGGTGCTCCCGTACAATCGGGAAAGTGGAAAGCTTCCAGCTCAGATGCCTTGTGCATGCACAGCCCGCGCCAGCCCCACTGGGATGGCTGTATTTTTTCCCCTTTCCCAGTGACCCGTAGCATAGATGGGATCAGGGGTTAAACTGGGAGTATGGTGGAAAAGGGACCAGGGGAGCCCGAGGCTAGCACAGCTTAACAAGTGATTATAAGGTCTGAAGGCAAAGGGAACCACTGCCTGTCAGGAAGCTGCTGCCGAAGAAAACATCCCATTGTACTGGGGAGATGGAGTATGGGACAGAGGAGAGAGAAACAGATTGATAACCGAGGGGCGATGTGACCCCGCATGGGCTCCTGCAACAAAAGCCCCTTCATCTAAAATGAATAGGAACAATAGCTAATGGGGACAGGCCAGCAGCAGCCCAGGATCTGAGAGGCCGGAGGAGAGGGAGGAGTCAATGGCGGGTCCTGTTTTACCCAAATCCTCTATTGATCTCGGTAATCTCCTGGGCTTTCCCCCCCTTGAAATCACACAGAAAGTTCAAGGACTTTTTGCCTTTGGATTGTAGGGACATGCATTGTCCTCGCGAGCCGGCGGGACCAGCAGCCAGCGAGGTGTGGCGTGGGGAAGGCTGGTGGGACGTGCCCCAGAGCGGGGCTGGGGTGCCTGGGATGAGCGGCCGGGATGTCCCCAGCCCCAGGCTGGCAGCGGTGGCAGGAGGACTGTGGCTGCTGGCCTCATCCCGGCGCATTCTGGCTCCCGGGTGGGTTCCAGCTCCACCGAGCTTTTTGGGACAGAGAATGAGTGGACGTACAGAGCCTGGCACAGCGGGGTCCAAACTGAGTGCTCCCGTATCATTAAAAAAGGAACTGTGGTCTTTCTTTTACGGGATCTGCAGAGCCCTCCTTAGGCACAGCATGTGCTGAGGGTACAGGGCAGCGGCGGAGCCATGCGAGCACTGGGAATGGGAGCTGCATCCCCACGGAGCATCATCGCGGGGGCTGAGCAGGTAGGGGCAGGTGCTGGAGACGTGTTGGAGAGCCAAGCAGCATCTCTAGGGAAGGGGGATTTGTTGAAAAGGGATCCTGAAATATTGAGCCATAGACACTAAAAATGTAGGGATGGGATTTTTCTTTTGGTTTTAATTTTTTTTTTTTTGATTGACAAGAGTATCCACAGGAAATATCATCTAGATGAGGAAAAAAAAAAGAAAAAAAGAGTTTTGAGGGAGTATTTTCAGCCTGCACTCGCTTAACCTGACAAAATGACTCGGCCTGTTGCAGAATATGCAAAGCCTGCACCCAGAAAGCAAACAGACCTGCGAGCAGAAAGCGGATGAAATCATAGTCCTGCTTTGGCTGAGCCAGGAGGCAATGTGTCTCTGTACCTGACGTCTGGACATGGCACGCTGTCCACCTTGTATCTGATACCTCCTGCCCAGCGGGGATGGAGAACAGGCCAACTTGATTAGAGAGCTGGCACAAGACGTGAGGACATCTGGGAGGCCTCAGATCGGGAGCATGAATTAATAAGAACCAGTAAGAGGAGGAGACTGAACGGGATTCAGAGCCCCGATGGGAGCTCGGGGCTGCCAGCCGCAGCTGCCCGGCTGCTGCAGGCAGGGTCCTGATTTCTGGCCCTGCCCTTCCCAGTGCGGCCACCATGCTCAGGGTGATGCTTCTGCCGTAAAGGAGGGGAGAGCACGGCCTGGAGCGGGGCACTTCGTCATGTGCAATATAATCTAGGGGGCAAAAGGGCTGACATTTAAATGACCCCTGTTTGTCCTTCCCCAAGATATACAGGGTGATGATTTATCTGGAGAGCCTCCACAGCTCGTTAATGGCTCAGCCTGCCATGAAAGCAGCTGCATCAGTGTTTCCCAAAGCCTGGAGCGGGCGATGGACCCTCCAGGGCCAGCAGGACTGATCACGCCTCTCCTCTGTTTGCTGAAGCCACAGCTCCCAGTTTTCAGTGGCCCACCTCTGGGGCTCATCCATGGGCAGGTCCAGCAGAGGAACAGCCCCATGGACCTCAGCTAGTGGCACTTACTGCAGCCAGCATCCTCAGGGGACTGGCACTGCGTTAGATGCCTCAGCCATCTAAAACACACAGGGCATGTGGGGTACATTGCCAGTCATGGGCAACATACCCCACGGGCAAGCAAGCACCCATCCTGTTTGCCTAAGGGAGGCTGTTTGCACCATGATAATGGCTGCAGCCCCAACAGTGCACCCCGAGGGCAGGCAAGGACCCCTTTACACCAGGCAGGTCAGCACCGTGGGGCCGTGGTGGGAGCTGCTTGGCTGCAAAGGGCCGTGAGCCTGAAGAGCAAGTGCGTGGAGAGGTCTGGGAGCTATATTGAGGGGTCTGGGTGCTACATTGAGGGGTCTGGGTGCTGAGCCCAGCTCTCATCTTGGCTTTTATCAGATTGGGAAAGGGATTATGCCATGCTGGGTTGGCTCAAATGACACCCACCCCTCCCCAGGTAGCAAGGGGCTGCGGGAAGTGACGGATTGCCACCTGGAGAGCTGGGGCAGGCGGCAGAGATGGCGATGCGCCGTGCTCAGTACAAATCTGCACACAGGGGAGTCGCACACCTGAAGCGAGCTGTTACACCCAAGTGCACTTATGCATCAGCAGCTCTCATCCATGGAAGAACCACTCTCAGGCTAACCCAGCATCGGGAACGTCCTGAGAATAACGGCGTGATGCCCTGTTTACACATCCATGCCTAGACCCTGCGGTGCAGGGTGTGCTGTACGGACACCCCAAACAGCGGGTTTGTTAGCTGGGCTGGTGAACCGAAGTGACGATGGGCTGGCAAACGCCAGCATTCCCGAAGGTCCTCAGCCACTGCAGGCAAATATTTACAAGAGCTCTCCAAGGGAAACCCATAAACTGCTCCCTGGTATAGCTTTCTGAGGATCACTCCAGACAGCTATATTAGCTGGAACATGAAGTAGTTACACTCCTGCTGCTCTTCCAGTGCTTTTGAAACAGATACTTGTCTCTTTTATTACCTTTGTTTGTGTCTCGTTTTATTTGTGCGCTGTGTGCTTCATTGTGCTGGGTTTGATACAGTTGTGACTGGCTATGGGTTGGAACAACAATAAATACCTTCCAGGCCTTTTGTGCTTTTTAATATTATTCTCTACTTTAAAAAAAAAAAAGCCAAGCCAGACAATGAAAACAGTACAGGGAAAATTAAACCCTAAATCTGCATTTATGGTTCTATATTAAACACACAGGGAAGGCTGGTTTCAAACTGTTGATAAAACTTTTTTTTTCTGTTAAAAATGTGCTTTTGGGGAAGGTGGCATGTTTCGTGAAGGAGGGTTGGCTTTGGTGAAGATATACTTGGTAAGGTCTTCCCGGTCCAGGATGGACATGCCAGCTGGAAAAAATGACCCCAAGGGCTGGACTGGAGACAAGGCTCACCCTAAGTGGAGATGGGAGCTGCCCGTGCTCACACCCTGGTTCGCTTTGGTCCTTGTGAGAGAGCGCACAAAGCCTTGGCTCTCTCCAAAAGCTTAACCAAGGGGCTCTGAAATTAAGGCCAATCTTTTCATTGACTTTACTGGGTATGAAGCAACGCTTGGAGAGCATCAAGGGCTGAACTAGGCTCCCGAAGGGCTGGGACAGGACAGGCGTGATGGACAGAAGAGCCAGAGACCCACTGATGAGGGGCTGGCTGTAAACCCCATGAGCTTCTCCCTTCACAGTGGGTTTTACGGGATAACTTGTCCTTTGTACAGCAATGGTACAAGTAGGGGTTGAAAGGAGAGGTGGCGATTTGAGCCTCATGGTTTGCTCTTTCCATGTGATCCCTTTGAAATATCCCACCTCCCTTCAGGTGGGCTGAAACCACA